GTTGATCTTTGATCGGGCGAGCGGGGGTGCTCAATTCCTCTTTTCCACCCCTTTTGCTTAAGTTCCCGAGCCGAGGCAACTTTGGTGATGACGGACACGTGGCCTTAGGCACAAGTCAGGGTTTCCTAAATTTCCCCAAAAATAAAATATTTAGGTGGCGACTCTGTATCTGGCAAAGCAGTCCATGTTTGGCACTTCTTTCAAAATCTGTTTTCTCAAAACGATTTGCCGGATTTGGACTCTTTGGTTCAGACTTAGAACTGTGACACAAATCGAGTCCAAGCTGTAGCGAGGTCCCCCGCGGGCTTGTTACACACTGCTTTTGTTTCACCAATATCTCATTCTTCTATTGCCTCTGCTTCACCAGCATCTAATTCTTTTTCTCTTCCAAATTCTACTGGTTTACCTCCAATTTCTACTGGTTTACCTCTTAGTCCCTCTTCAGCTTAGTCTTCTCTTCCACTTATTTCTCCTCCCCTTCATTCTCCTATACCTATTAACCCTATTTTTATTCAGTTGCCTTTTCCTTCTACTTCTGTTTCCCTTCTTTCTGTGCCTCATTCTTCTAATTGTCATCCTATGCTCACTAGATCTAAAATAGCTCTCCTCATTCTCAAACCTGCTTCTCTTTCTTCGCATGATGTTGAACCTCCCTCTCACAAGGAGGCCTTGGTTATTCTTATTTGGAAACAGGCTATGTTGGAAGAATTCCAAGCTCCTCAAGCCCAGAAAAATTGGTCCCCTTTTTCTCTTCCTCCTGGGAAGCATGCCATAGGTTGTAAATGGGTGTTTAAGGTCAAGAGGAATTTTGATGGGACTGTTGCTAGACATAAGGCCAGATTAGTGGCCAAAGGCTATCTTTAACAAGAAGGCATTGACTTTTAAGAAACATTTAGTCTTGTTGCTAAGTTGCCCACCATTCGCATTCTTTTATGTCTTGCTCTCTACCAGCATTAGCCTATCAAGCAACTAGATATCTCTAATGATTTTCTTCATGGCATTCTTGAGGAAGAAGTTTACATGTTGCAGCCACCAGGATTTGAGCATTTTTCTCAACCACAGCAGGTTTGTAAGCTCCACAAAGCTTTGTATGGCCTTAAACAAGCACCAAGAGCATGGTACCCTACCTTTTCATCCTTTTTGCTCTCTCAAGGGTTCAAGAATAGCAAATGTGACTCTTCTCTGTTCATATATCAGCATGGTGCTTCATTGCTTTTCTAGTTTATGTGGATGATATTCTACTCACCGGGAATAATGTTACATATATTCTTGTTACTAAAATGCATCAGGCATTTTCTATGAAAGAGCTTAGAAATCTTTCCTATTTTCTGGGTATATCTGTTGCAACCTTTGGCTCTACCTATGTGCTTTCTCAGACCAAGTATGCTCAAGATGTTCTTACTAAGTCTGGTATGTTGGATTGTAAGCCATGTGATTCCCCTATATCTGTTAAGCCTAGGTTGCCTCACAATTCTGATGTTCCTTTTCACAATCCTTTTTTCTATAGAAGTATAATTGGGGCATTGCAGTACTTAACCATTACCAGGCCTAACCTGTCTTATGCTGTCAATCACCTCTGTCAAGATATGCATAATCCTACTATTGGCCATTTGCTGGTGTAAAAAGGTTGCTTAGGTATCTTAAAGGAATTCTATCTTAGGGCCTCACATATACACCTAGCTCTTTTGCTCTTCAGGCCTATTCTGATTCCAACTGGGCTGGAGACTCTATTGACAGAAAATCCACTTCTGGATATTGTGTATTTCTGGGCTTCAATCTTATTTCTTGGTCAGCCAAGAAACAAGCCATTGTGTCTAGATCCTCTACTGAAGCAGAGTATCGATCATTGGCTTATACTGTTGCCGAACTGACTTGGATTGGTATGTTACTTCATGATCTTTGTATTATGTCTCCCATAATTCCTCTTCTCTGGTGTGATAATGTCTCTACCACAGCCTTAGCCTTTAATCCAATTTTTCACTCTTGATCAAAACATATTGAAGTTGATTACCACTTTGTTCGTGATCAAGTCCTTGCTCAAAAGCTTAAGTTGCACTACGTTCCTACTCTTGATCAGTTGGCTGATATTTTTACTAAACCTTTATCAGTTTCTCGTTTCTCTTATCTTCAATCCAAACTGATGTCAGCATCTCCTCTCATCAGTTTGAGGGGGAATGTTGAGGAATGTAGTTCAACCAGCTCAGGTTCAAGTAGTGCAGCCAGCTTAGGTGACTCCGGCTCAGATTGTAGTTCAACAGATTGTAGTTCAAGAAGTTCATATGTTTAGGAGTTAGTTACACAGTTGAGAAGACAGTTAGTTTGTTAGAAGATATTTTGTTCTAGATGATTAGTTGAGCTCTTTATAACTTTGTATATAAATATAGCTGATGTATTATCAAATGAGTTGTTGAATAAGAAAAGTATATTGGTTTCAGTTTTGTTTCGAGTAGACTATTTTTTGTGGTGAAGAGAGTCACCCCAAAAAGTTATAACAAAAAAGACATTTAACAACAAAATTTTGAAAATGTTGATAATATATGTATTTTTAGGGACAACAATTTTTTATAAAAAAGATTTACTTTTTTAGACGAAAATTTTGGCTCCAAAAAGGTTGTAATTCCTCACTAAATGTCTAATTAGGTTGCTAAAAGTACAATAATGACACTTGTTAACTAAGATATTTTGTTCCTAAAAAATAATTTCTTCTAAATTTTTATCTTTAAAACCTTAATTTGTTATAATGTCCAAATTTACGACCCAAATGCAGCCTTAACGTTTAAATTCCATGCTACAAAGTTATCATTCTTTAATGGAATTTTGAACGGTGATGAATACAGCCTTGAATGGTGGTCCTATGAGCTGATGGTCTTGTTATCCGGACTTCTACCAAATCCGCAGCTTGAAACTTCAGTATTGTCTGTATGGTATGCCCTTTGTCACAACATTTGATGATCTATGTTCTAAAATATAAATGGGAATGGTGATTTTGGTATTATGATAAGCCACTATTTAATTTTTTATTGATTTTGTGAACAGTCTCAATACCATCTCAACACTATATCAAATTCCACTCGGATTTGGTGCTGCTGCTAGGTGTGCTTTTGCTCATACAACATGTATACTTTTTTGTTGACTTATGTCTTAGTTCAATTGTATTATTTATTTTTAGGATTCATTTTTTTCCCTCAACAGCACTAGGGTTTCAAATGAATTAGGAGCTGGAAATCCACAAGGGGCTCGTGTAGCTGTATTTGCAGTGATGTTCCTTGCAGTCATGGAGCCTACAATTGTGAGCACAACCCTCTTTGCCACCCGACATGTTTTTGGCTACATTTTCAGCAATGAAAAAGAAGTTGTGGACTATGTCACAGCCATGGCACCTCTGGTTTGCTTCTCTACCATAATGGATGGCTTTCAAGGAGTCCTTGCAGGTTACATTTCTTGCTTGTCAACAATAAAATCTATATGGATTTTGATTATAAATGAAAATCTTCATTCCCGTGTTTTGTTTGAGAGAAATTGGTCGGGAATATGTTTTGCCGACCAAAAATTGGACTTTTGCCGACCAAATCTTTAGTCGGCAAATGTGTTTATTCTTGTAGTGATCCCTCATAAAGCTAGTTAATTTGGTTTTATTAGAAAATGATTGATTACACGCCTAAAAAAAAAGTATTTAAATGTGTGAACCAGATTCATTATGGATGTGATGTGATGGATTTATATTCTTTGTAGTGCAATTTGTAATACTTTAAAATAAAATAACAAAGTTAAAAACGACATCATTTTAGTGTCTTTACTCAAGTTTGAATAGAGATACCAAAACAATGTCGTTTTAATTTTAAATTGCAACCCTTGGTTCTTCTTTGTTTTTGACGTGGCTTATCGTCATTCAAGGTACTACAGATTGCACTATAGAGCATTTGAATTCGTGACCTACATTACAACAAATTTGAATCTATACCATACATATATTTTTCTTGATTTTTTATATGCGTTTTCTGAACCTTTTACTGAACCTAAAAATTCATTTAAAGCTATCACTTGATTGGAAGGAAGATGGAAGAAAATATATTAATTAACTATGGGGTCTTTACATGTAGTTTCAAAATATTTTTCTTCCTTTCTTTTTCTTCTAACTAAAAAAATCACAGTAGCAATTAACCAAAGGCAAACCTTAAAACTTCGTAGATTTAGAAGTGTTTCTGTCATTTTCTACAATTTTAATAGATTTATTTTGTGATTTATTTTGTGATTTTTTTTTTTTTTTTCGGGCAACTAAAGCAAGCACTACTAGAAAAAACACTTTCCGTGACGAACATGTTTGGTCGCGAAAAGTACCATATTTGGTCACTAAAACCTTTTCGCGACCAAAATATGTTGGTCGCGAGTTGGTCACTAAAGCCTCGTCACAGATAGTTTTCTGCGACCAAAAAAGCCTTTGGTCGCTAAAAGTGACCATTCGTGACCAACTTTTTTGGTCGCGAAAAGTCCAATTCATATTAGCCAAAAGTAAACTTTTAGCGACCAAAGATAAGTTGGTCGCCAAAAGTCAGCGCCTTGACCCAAAAAAAATAATTCTTTTGTGCTCCCTGGGACTTGAACTCCTGACCAAGGAGTCACCATGCACCCAATCCACTCTGCCACTCTGCCAATAACACACTTCTTGTTCATATTTGACAAAAAAAATATATAACCCATAAAAATTGGGTTATATATTATTTTATAAAACTTTTATTGCCTAAATAGAAAAATAGTATGTAATTACTGTAGTATCATTTTTTTTAAAAATTTATCCCGCCATAACTTTCCGCGACTAACTTTTTTTTTTGGTCGCCAAAGGGTAATCTTCCGCGACAAAAAAAGCCTCTGGTCGCCAATAGTAGACTTTTCGCGACCAACTTTTTTTTTTGGTAGCCAAAAGGTGATCTTCCGCGACCAAAAAAGCCTTTGGTCACCAATAGCATACTTTCCGCGACCAACTTTTTTTTTTGGTCGCCAAAGGGTAATCTTCCGCGACAAAAAAAGCCTCTGGTTGCCAATAGTAGACTTTTCGCGATCAATTTTTTTTTTGGTAGCCAAAAGGTGATCTTCCGCGACCAAAAAAGCCTTTGGTCGCCAATAGCATACTTTCCGTGACCAACTTTTTTTTTTGGTTGCCAAAGGGTAATCTTCCGCGACCAAAAAAGCCTTTGGTCGCCAATAGTATACTTTCCGCGACCAACTTTTTTTTTTGGTCGCCAAAAGGTGATTTTCCGCGACCAAAAAATTGTGGTCGCCAAAAGTTAAATTTTAGTCGCAGAAAGTGGACTATTTGCGACAAAAAAAAAATAGATAGTCGCCAAAAGTGTTTTTTCTTGTAGTGAAGGGAAAGGGTGTTTGAGGAAAGAACTTTAGCAAATAAGGTGAATGATATAGAATAATGATGAATTAGTGTTTTATTTTATTTTATTTTATTTTTTTCCCGCCTCGTCAACCTTTTGGTTTTGTCTTCAGTTGCACGCTTTTATAGATGCCAATATAGTTGAGATAATTGAGCTCTTTTATAGATGCCAACATAGTTGAGATTTATTTTAAGCTATGATGCAGCTTTTAGTTAGGCACTATTTAAAATACTTTCATTATCAGTAAAATTTTTATTTTGTCAATAAAAAAATAATGATGAATTAGTGTTTTTATATACCATTTGAGGTCCAAGTCTTATGATTGTTGAAACAGTGTACATAAGCCATGATGGACTTATGAGAGGCAGGTCCGGGCCTGAGATTTTCGGGGTTCAAATTTGATAATGAACTAATAAATATTATTAGATAAGTTGGGATTCTTCACATTTTTTTTTTATTCAACGAAAATGTTTTTTGAAAGTAAAAGACAAGATTTGTATCAAAAGAGTTAGGGTTAGGAATTAGATAAGGGGAGAGAATGGGCCCTTTTAATTTTGAATGGGCGTTTTAATTTTTTAATGGATTAATTTATTTTAAGTTTGTTTGAACCTTCTTTAATTTATTTTGAACTTAAAACATACTTAATATATTACACTAAACTATAATAGGAGTGAGCTTTTTTTTTTAGTCTATTTTGAGAGGCCTTAAGCCATAGCCTGGTGGGTCTATGTTTGGGGCCGGCCCTGATGAGAGGTCATGGCTCCCACCTTATTATTGAGGGGAAATTAGATGCAAGGGGAAGAATGAAAAAAAAAAATTATAAATATATGAGGGTATAAGTGTGTATATAATGAGATATAAATAAAAAATTATGGGGGTGTAAGTGTCACTTTCATCCCTCCATGTGTTGATAATTTTTTTCCCTTCTCTCATTACATGTAATTTCTCTTTTTTTTTTTTTAAGCATTTGCATTTTACTTTTTCTTGATAAATTATTTAATAATGCCACAGGGCTATCATGTTTACTGTAAATGAGCTATGTGGCTTCCTCGTTGGCAAAAACACATTAGTCACTAATGAACCCCACCACTCGCTAATCAATAATAGGAGAAATATTAATTAGCATACAAACAAATGCATAAATACAAGACATGCGTGTAAAAATTACAACTTCATGTGGAATAAGTAATGTTATGAATCTAGTTTTAACTATTTAAAAATTGCCATATTGTGGTTCAAATTTATTGTATATATAGACTCTATACTACATAAATTTAATTTTTATCACACAATCACCCATTCATAAAAATATGGGTGAATAAGTCTGGTTCTTCGACTTATTGACCCACTAAACATTGTGTTTAGTTAATATGTTTATTTGTATAGTAGTTATTGTTTCTAATATTAATATTGCCCACAAGTAGGTTAATTAAATTAAGCGATTTGATGAGTAAAAATTTAAAAAAATAAGGATGAGAAAAAGAAAAATTTCATGCTTGGTTTAGAAACTAAAAAAAGAGAAATAGAACTTTCTTATTTATGTCAGTTTTATTTGAAACCAAAAGTTGTGAATTTACAAATTGATTGTGTATTTTAATATTATCGAGATCATTTATTAAATGGCAATGGTAGAGGGTCATAATTTTTGTGGCTCAAATGGCTCAAAACTGCTAAAACGACGTCGTTTTGAGCACAAAACATGTCAAAACGACGTCGTTTTGGCAGTTTTGAGCCATTTAAGCCACACAAATTGTGGCTCTTAAACATTATTCTTTATTAAAATACAAAGGAAACAAAAGAAAATTTCACTCATATTTCTGTGACATATATCATTCATCAAAATACAAAGGAAGGAAGTACAAAAGAAAATTTCACTCCATTACACACATCATGTTTTTTTTATTCATTCAAATATAACAATAAGAAAACATAACTATTTTTTTTGCTTTTTCTTACCTAAATAAAATACCACAACTATTTCTTTTCTTCTCTCAAGCCAATGTAACAATAATATATGAGATAATAAATACGTTATAATATATAAGTGTAATTATATATTATAACATTCTGCCATTTTGGGAACATGGTAAAAAGCCACGTTTTTGGACAAAATGTCCAAAAACGTGGCTGCCAAAAACGCCAGAAAAGCCATTTGGCAAGTGCCAAAAACGCAGCTGTAAAATTACAAATTAGGGTCTATGAAAAAAAAATAAAAAAAATAAATATCTTATATTGGGTAAGGGTATTTTGGTCATTTTAATTTGATTTGACACCATAAACGAATATTAAACTAAAAAGCAAAAAGTCAGCTTTTTACCAACTTCCCAAATCATTTTCAAAAAAGCCAAAAAGCTTGGTAAAAAATCAAAAGCCAACTTTTTACCAACTTCCCAAAATAACCCATTATTATAAATATATAGCTCCAAAGGCTACTTTACTTCATAATTCTTAACATCCTCCACGGGCAGCATCATCACAGACAATGTACCTGGCTTCGGTGACAGGCCTGCAGCATTAATAAAAAAAATTTAAAAAAATCAATAAAATTTTATAAAATTTCTTAGTTGGCTCACATTTAAAAAAAATTATTTGTTCATAAATATTTTATCTCATTCTATGATTGGTTTTTATACTCCTAGATGTTTTTAATTAGGGTCGAGAATTATATTGATATCGTATTACTCCTGTTTATGTCATATCATCTTGTATTCATATCAAAAATTTTTTTTTAATAATTTGTTTATTTTTTTAAGTTTGTGTCTAAATCATGTTGTATTAATGTGTCATATTAAACAATTTCACAAATTAAAAATATCAAATGGATCCAAAATTTTGCTACGGATGGAAAAAAAAAAAAAAAAAAAAAAAAGGGTAGAAGGAAGGGCGAACCGAAAAAATCATCAGGTTTAGCTTTAGGGGCGAGAGGGGACATTGGGGGAGATGACGAACCCTGAATCTGGGAGCAACAGAGACATACTGAGTATCGCCTACTTTTCTCCCCGAAAATCGCAGAGAAAAGTCCATCGCGCCGAGTGCTGCTGCTGGTTATATCATCATCACCACCACCACCAGATTCCTCTTTATTGATCTTCTTGTTTTTATTTTCCTTCAAGTCAATCATTGAGCAACAGAGCGTCAGTCTCTGCTGACTTTTGTCTTTCCGATCCTTCATCGATGATGAACACTAACTCAACACACCACCACACCAAATTCATAATCTATCAGTATAGATTAGATTATATATATATATATATATCTGTTTATGAGAGAGAGAGAGAGATGTTAAAATATATCATCCACTACTCCACTACACACCCCACTTCACCTACCACCTCCACTACACCTCACCTACTACCCAAACTCTCTCCTATATAATAACCCACTCTGATTTGTAATATAACACATCAAGAAATATCAATCAATAATACATGATTTTTAACATGGTATCAGAGCAGGTTTAGAACCTAATATTTTTCGCTTCACCGGCGGGCGGCAACCTCGCCTTGGCCGCCCGCCGGACCTCAACCTAGTCCGCTAAGATTTTTCTTACACATACCTCGCCAAAGCACTGCAACTCCATGCCCCTCCACATCGTCACCCTCTCCGAGCTCGCCGCCGTCATCTCGTCATCTACCTCCTCGACTTATTCGGCATCGACTTCGTCCCGTCCCTCCTTACCTTGCCGCGGCTTCTTCATGTTGCTTGACTGCTGATTCTGCCGCCGGTGAGGATGAGCAGTGGTCCTATTGCTATGCTTGAGATTATTAGTCTTTAGCATCTCTATTGGTGTTTCAGTGGTTCGTTTGTCGTGGAGGTGGTCTGTTTATGAATTTTTTTGTTTTTATTTTCTTGGTTTATTTCCCTTTTGGTTTTCCTGATGAAACAAGATGTAAGAAGCAGGACAAGCCTCTTTTGGGGTGTTGAAGGCCACTCTCTCGGGTTTGGAGTGTTGCCACCAAAAACAAAAACAAAAAAAACAAAAAAAACCCGACAGACACACATGCACCCACTCCACTTTCTCTTATTTTAATATAACTCTATATATATATATCTATGTTTATTTTCTTATATTGCACATCAGATCCTCACCCTCTTGTTTATCTTCTTATTTAGAGCACCCTAGACTAGTTGGTTTCGTACAGTATTGATTTGGCTTTTGTGCTGGAACTCTCTCTCCACTCAAGACACCCACCACTTTCTCAACTTTCTCACCTATCTGCTTTTATCTTTTGCACTTTCTCCACTCCCCATCCCAAAATATTGTTTTTTTTTATCTATTTTTTTTTTCTTTTATTTTATTTTTATTCTTCCCCAAAACAACCTCACCCTTATCCTGTTGTTATTCTTCTTTTATTTTATTTTCTTTCACTTTCTTTTTCATTTTTTTTTTCCATTATTATTATTCTTATTATTATTCTTCTTATTATTTTTATTTATTTATTTATTATTATTATTAATTTTTTTTGCACACCCCCAAAAAACAAAAAAAAAAAAAAAAAGAAACGTAAAAACCTATCTTATCCACGTACACCCAATATTAGGAAAAAAAAATGCAAACAAAATCACACATAAGAGCAAACAAGTAAACTTTCAAACCCCAAAATTAAGGAAATATAATATACCCAAAATAAAAAGAACTAATTGCTTTGAAAAAAAATATTTCTAAGACTAAATGAAGTAATTTTTCTCCAAATGAGATTTATGAGTAATTTGTCCTTATTCTAACCTGAATTTTGCTATCTATATAAGTAGAATTTGATAATTATATAAAAAAACAAACTTGATTTATTTTTAATAAATATATGAAGTGCCATGATAAAGCTTCAGCTAAGGTCCGAAAAACTCTTATCATCTCTAACCCAAAGGATGTTATGTAGCAAGTGGACTCCAGGCCCAAGGAATGTCCACAGAGAAGCCCATAGCCCAAGTCATCTTGCGGCTATCAGTTTGATTTGAATCACAAAATCTGTTTCTGTTTGGTGACTGATGGAAATTCATTTTTACATCTCAAGTAAATATATATATAATTATTCTATTTGGTTTTGAAAATTTTAAAAACAGTTTTGAGTTTTTAAATTATATTTTTTGATTTTTAGTGAATTTTTTTAATTTTATTCGAAAAGAAAAAAGCTATATTACTGTTCATTCCAAAGGTCGGCCCATCTCTCACTGGTGGACTCCAAATTTTACATAAGGCCCATATTTTGTGGGAATTATTAATGGGAAAATTACATCCTAGTGAGATGTAGAATATATATATATAATATAGAAAGTTTATAAAATATTTATTAATTTTTCAATTGATTTGTAATTATTTTTATAGATAATTCTATTAGACACACCTCTTACTATATGTATCCTTAGTTATTCTATTTTCTTATTTAGTTATAACTAATTTTTTATTTTATTTTATTTATTTTTCTTTAGTTAAAGCATTTCTAATGGAGGTGCCAAAGGTATAATTTGGCAAGTGTAAAAAAAAAAAAGTTTCTAATGGTCTGCTATTCTTCCTGTCAAATATAGCAAATGTCATTTCTGCTGTCGAATTTGAAAGGAGGTTTGGCATTTGCCAAACATGCCATATCATCAAAGATTAATCAATTTATTTGGTTTGAGTTTTTTAAATTCACTTTTTAGAAAATTGAAATTTTTTGTTTCGTATTTTTCTATTTTGTTTTTAATATTTTAAGCAATTTTTTAAAATTTTTATATACACCTAATATAAATACACTTAAAAATTTTAATATTTATGAAAAACCCAATAATAATTATTTCTACCCAAACTCTCTCCTATATAATAACCCACTCTGATTTGTAATATAACACATCAAGAAATATCAATCAATAATACATGATTTTTAACAAGAGAGAAGAAGAAGAAGAAATCATTGAAAGAGAATTATAGTTACTGTTAGTGTATTATAATGTTAGTGTCATATATAGTTGTCATACATTAGCATATATTATATACATGTAAAGTAAAATGTTTATTGTAATGTTTATTGTTTCTGCTTTCGGTGCATTTGGCATCCTATGTACAACACTCTCCTCTTTATAAAAGAGAGTGAGCTTCTCCTTGTGTAATACAACGTATATCAATCTTAATACATACAATTTATTCTCTCTGTAATTCTCTCTCTATCAATTTATCTTACATGGTATCAGAGCTAAGTTAAGAACTTAGTATTTTTCGCTTCACCGGCGGGCGGCAACCTCGCCTTGGCCGCCCGCCGGACCTCAACCTAGTCCGCTAGAATTTTTTACACATACCTTCACTCTTCTTCACCACCTCGCCGAAGCAAACCCAAAATCCCTCTGGGACATTTCGTCGAACACCATGTCTGCAACAATGATGGGCATGACACACACACAGAGATGAGGCTGCTAACCCACAACATGCTATCATCCAACATCAAGGGGGTCACCAACGACTTTCCTCTCCGAATCGAAGTCCAGAAAGTGATCGAAAAGCCTGTGGATTTCAACCCCGACTTTCTTCGACACATGTTCCCCAAGATCGACTGGAACGCTCTCGTCGGAGCCTCTCAGACCATGGGCTACCCTGACCTTCCCGACTCCGCTGACGCCGCCATGCTCGACTCCGACGACTTTCTCCGGCGCTTCCATCACTCCCTCCTCAAGCTCCACCTCGAAGAGGGCGCCCTCCTCTGCCCCAAGACCAGCCGTCGATTCCCAGTCATCAAGGGCATCCCCAACATGCATCTTCATGAAGACGAGCTTCAGGAACCAGCAGTCTGATCCCACTGACCGCTGCGAGATCCGCCTTGAAGATCCCTCCTCCGGCGAGCTCTTCGCCGCCTGCTTCGTCCTTCCCGGCCAGCGTGGCACCTCCATCCGTCGCCGCACTCATGCCGTGCTGGACTTGCTGTGGTGCTACTGCTTTCTGCTTCACTATGTTGCTCCAACATGCTGCTCCACTACTCGAAGCTTCCTCCCCCATGGCGAGTCGAAGTGATGAAAACATTTTTAATCAACCCACTCTCTCTCTCTCTCTGGTCCCTTTCTCTCCACCAGACCCACTTTAATCATATCTGTCATTCCCCCCTACTTTATTCCACATACTCTCTCATATTTTATTAATCTATCAACATCCACCCACCTACAATTTGTTTTTGTTTAAAAAAAAATATATATATATATATATATATATATATATATATATTTGTTTAATCTGTCATTACCCACTTTAATTATAATAGCTGGCACCACATTGTGTTGGTTTGAAGACAACCGTGGGCTCCAGTACCCCTTTATTTATTTTATTTTATCTTCCTTTTTCCATAACCTCCCCCCCCAAAAAAGAAAAAAAAAAAAAACCTTTCTCTCATTTTTTTTTTTTTTAACATCTTCACTTTGTGTTGAGCTGTTTTGCTCCACTTTATCAATCCCTTTCTTTCAATCTCAAATATGTTTCTATCTTCACACCTATTTGAGTTTGATGGGGGGTTATACATATATCATGGTGAGTATGGTTACACACCATGCGAACCACCCAAGCTAATGAGCATGGTTATATACCATGGGGACCACCCAAGCCACCCCATGGCGCACTTCCTAAGTCGCCCCCTTGGTGCACCACCAAAGTCTTCTACAACGGTCCGATATGACCCCGTAAACTGTCCCGACATTGATTCCGGTTAGCATCTACGTCGGTCCGGCATGACCCCGTAAACTGTCCCGACATTGATTCCGGTTAGCTTCTACAACGGTCCGGCATGACCCCGTAAACTGTCCCGACATTGATTTCGGTTAGCTTCTACATTGGTCTGGCATGACCTCGTAAACTGTCCAGACATTAGCTCCTACAACGGTCTGACATGATCAGACAGTGTCTCCTATCCTATTTTTATTTTATTTTCACGTTTTGTTACTCTCTCCAAATTCAAGTTGGTTTGTATCTCTCCTCCTTGAGTTTGAGGGGGGCTGTTAGTGTATTATAATGTTAGTGTCATATATAGCTGTCATACATTAGCATATATTATATACATGTAAAGTAAAATGTTTATTGTAATGTTTATTCTTTCTGCTTTCGGTGCATTTGGCATCCTATGTACAACACTCTCCTCTCTATAAAAGAGAGTGAGCTTCTCCTTGTGTAATACAACATATATCAATCTTAATACATACAATTTATTCTCTCTGTAATTCTCTCTCTATCAATTTATCTATTTATCTTACAATTACCTTTTCACACTGACTCCAACTGTGCCTTCTTCTTCTTCTTCAATGATTTTGCTTTGCTTTGCTTATGTTCTAAACATGGAATAAATTGGCTATTTAAAGAGAGATTTGGCTTAGTTAGACTTTGAGATTAAAAAATATTTCAGTCTTGAATTTCGATGAAGATGATTGAGAAATGCGTGTTGGCTGGATTTCGACACTATTGGCCACCACCGCTTGTTTAGTTTATCAGATAGTTTTTGCCTTTAAAAAAAAACACTACTCGCCAGCCTTTTTAGGTAGTTTAGGTGCGGTTTAATAACATTTACGTTTTTAATTTTTTGTTTGTATTTATAAAAATTTAAATAAAAATTTGTTTGGTAAATTTTTTATTTATAAATCAGTGATCTCAGTTTATAAATTTGACTAAAAAATGCAAACTCAAAAAATGCGTTTTCGTTTTGAGTTTTTAGTTTTTTTTTTACTGCGTACTTTGCTGAATACAGGTTCAGAGAGCGCGTACGTAGCGGGACACACGATTCAGTGTCGCATATGTCGACGACCCGTGGATCCGAGTCTCGCATGGTCGCAGCACGACTGATAGGGTTTCCCAGATGAGAGAATTGGTCATCTCGCCGGCTGCTTAGCATCGCATCACTCCCTCCTACAAGCTCCACCTCGAAGATGGGCGCCCTCCTCTGCCCCAAGACCCAGCCGTCGATTCCCAGTCATCAAGGGCATCCCCAACATGCATCTTCATGAAGACGAGCTTCAGGAACCAGCAGTCTGATCCCACTGACCGCTGCGAGATCCGCCTTGAAGATCCCTCCTCCGGCGAGCTCTTCGCCGCCTACTTCGTCCTCCCGGCCAGCGTGGCACCTCCATCCGTCGCCGCAGCTCATGCCGTGCTGGACTTTGCTGTGGTGCTACTGCTTTCTGCTTCACTATGTTGCTCCAACATGCTGCTCCACTACTCGAAGCTTCCTCCCCCATGGCGAGTCGAAGTGATGAAAACATTTTTAATCAACCCACTCTCTCTCTCTCTCTGGTCCCTTTCTCTCCACCAGACCCACTTTAATCATATCTGTCATTCCCCCCTACTTTATTCCACATACTCTCTCATATTTTATTAATCTATCAACATCCACCCACCTACAATTTGTTTTTGTTTAAAAAAAATATATATATATATATATATATATATATATATATATTTGTTTAATCTGTCATTACCCACTTTAATTATAATAGCTGGCACAAACATTGTGTTGGTTTGAAGACAACCGTGGGCTCCAGTACCCCTTTATTTATTTTATTTTATCTTCCTTTTTCCATAACCCCCCCCCCAAAAAAAAAAAAAAAAAACTCTCTCTCTTTTTTTTTAGCATCTTCACTTTGTGTGGAGCTGTTTTGCTCCACTTTATCAATCCCTTTCTTTCAATCTCAAATATGTTTCTATCTTCACACCTATTTGAGTTTGATGGGGGGTTATACATATATCATGGTGAGTATGGTTACACACCATGCGAACCACCCAAGCTAATGAGCATGGTTATATACCATGGGGACCACCCCAAGCCACCCCATGGCGCACTTCCTAAGTCGCCCCTTGGTCCACCACCAAAGTCTTTCTACAACGGTCCGATATGACCCCGTAAACTGTCCCGACATTGATTCCGGTTAGCATCTACGTCGGTCCGGCATGACCCCGTAAACTGTCCGCGACATTGATTCCGGTTAGCTTCTACAACGGTCCGGCATGACCCGTAAACTGTCCCGACATTGATTTCGGTTAGCTTCTACATTGGTCTGGCATGACCTCGTAAACTGTCCAGACATTAGCTCCTACAACGGTCTGAACATGATCAGACAGTGTCTCCTATCCTATTTTTATTTTATTTTCACGTTTTGTTACTCTCTCCCAAATTCAAGTTGGTTTGTATCTCTCCTCCTTGAGTTTGAGGGGGGCTGTTTAGTGTATTATAATGTTAGTGTCATATATAGCTGTCATACATTAGCATATATTATATACATGTAAAGTAAAATGTTTATTGTAATGTTTATTCTTTCTGCTTTCGGTGCATTTGGCATCCTATGTACACACTCTCCTCTCTATAAAAGAGAGTGAGCTTCTCCTTGTGTAATACAACATATATCAATCTTAATACATACAATTTATTCTCTCTTGTAATTCTCTTCTTATCAATTTATCTATTTATCTTACAATTACCTTTTCACACTGACTCCAACTGTGCCTTCTTCTTCTTCTTCAATGATTTTGCTTTGCTTTGCTTATGTTCTAAACATGGAATAAATTGGCTATTTAAAGAGAGATTTGGCTTAGTTAGACTTTGAGATTAAAAAAATATTTCAGTCTTGAATTTCGATGAAGATGATTGAGAAATGCGTGTTGGCTGGATTTCGACACTATTGGCCACCACCGCTTGTTTAGTTTATCCAAAAAAAAAAAAAAAAAAAAAAAAAACCACTACTCGCCAGCCTTCTTAGATAGTTAAGTTTTGTTAGTTTAATTAAGTTACTTGGCTCTCAAGCTATATAAGTTGAAACTGTATTAAAATAAAAGAATAAATTATAAATGCATTTATTTAAAGTATAATTGCCTTTTATGATTTCAAATGATTATAAATATTTTCTTGTTATAATTTTTTATTTAACAGAATAAAATTTATAATTGCTCTGCTATATAATAATAAAATTACTTAAAATTATTAACTGAAACATATTTCTAACATCATTAAAAACTATTAATTGACTTGATGATTTATTAATAAAAGGGGACGGTTTGTTATGAAATTAAAAACCTGGGAGGGTGTGGAATGTAATTTCTAGAACCACAAGAAAATATTCGTATTTGG